TTGCAAAAGGAATCATTTCTTCAATGAAGAAAAGAGAAACTAGTTTGCTAGATAATAAGATCTCGCTGGGTTCAATATATGTAGATCCAAAACACTGAATTTTCTTGGATGACGAACAAATTAAAAAAGCAAAGAAAGCCATATATGAACTTTCATTAAGAATTAAATTATTCTCGGAACAATTAGAGAATTCGAATCAGGACAGTCAAACTGCAGATGTTGCATTTGAGTCTCTATTATCCTCTTCCAGTGATGAATTAGATTTTGAGAAATATTTCTGGATAATATTGAAAAGGCTAAAGCTAAGCGAATGGAAATAAAGAACCAAGAGCATTTAGATATAAAAATGAAAAAAATACAAACAAGATTTCTACATGGCCTTTGAAGAAATAGAGAAATATGATTGTGCTTGCAAGAATCCTCTTTTAGAACTTGTAAAAATCTACCCTGAAACGTTAAAAGAAGTAGCCCTAACAGTAACAGCTCTTCCTCCTACTCAAGTTAGTGTGGAAAGAGTTTTCTCAGCTCTGAAGTTTATCAAATCGGATCCATAGGCCACCAACAAAGAAGATCTTGCCGAAGCTATACTGTTTCTTATAAATAATTAATGCCAGTTTTTATATTTCATAATAAATGCTAATTAATATAAATAATTTGCTGTGCCATCAGTTTCCCCCCCCCTATAGCATCTATTACTTCTTATATATTAAAAAAATAAGCTGTAACCCATGTGTACATGAGGGAGTCAGAGTTTTTAAAAATTTCAGGAGTCGGTCATTTTGCCTACCGACGCCACAGCCCTGGTTACTACACATGCAAAAAAAGCTAAATGGGTTTGTTAATGAAATTAATTTGCTTTTCCAATCAAAATATATTATTAATGTAATGTACTTTTGTTACAGTGTGTATTTACATACATGTGTAGACTACTGAATTTTCATTTTGTTTACATGCAAAAATATATGTGAATTACAGGCATTCATATATTATTATCAAAATTCTAAAGTTAAATTTGTTCTTTGTTTTTAGTAACTGAGCAGTAAAGCAGTGAAGTCAGGACACACAGGCAATTTAACTTGCATTAAATTATTGGTGAGCAGACTAGCTGCATAAGTTTTTGTAGTTTTCCCCATGTGTAACATGGATAGAACATAATTTCCCTCAAAAAGTCTTCTGTGAAGGCATCCTTTTGCATAGGCAAGATAGTCCGAGTTGTTTTTTCTTAACTAATTAACTAATTCTTATTTTCTAGTAACTGATATAACATAATTTTCTTCAAACTGACATTTCTGGTTATGTTGAAATGCTAGAAGGTAACACCTCCATTTCTTTTTTTATGCTGAATATACTAATGGTATGTTTTATACAGATCCTATACCATTAATGATACAATTTTTTAATTCATTGATTTAATTCTTTTTGATGCATTTATTGATATTTCTCTGTTATAATGGCCTTGGTAAGAAATAGGAATTGGCATATTTCAGTATTAGTGAGAAATAGGCAGTTACCTACACATGCTAACAATTTTGTAAATTCTTGATGAAAAATTCAGTGTAGAAAATAGCATGACCTCATAAAATTGTGAAGACTGATGAATCCATCTTAGTAAAACAGAAGAATAACTTAGGGAAAGCATTGCTGCAATAGTGGATTGTAGGCAGCATTTGTCACAAATGAACGTCTTTGTAGTTTTCCCCATGTATAACATGTATACGAGCCAGTTAGAAACTCCTCCATAAAGGCATCTTTCCCTTTAGGCAGATAGCCCTCGACTGCTTCGCCGTAATTAAATGTACCTTACTGTATCAATCCAAGCATAACATTTAACCTTCTTGAATCATTTCCAGTAATTTTATACTCTTTTAGTTATTATTTTTGTTAAATGTACTACAACAACAAGAATCAATATAAACTTTATAAATTTGCAGTTTTGAAGGTTAAAAACCTTTTTCTTCAGCTGCAGAAGTGAAAATGATGAAAAGGAAACATACTCACAGGATAACAATAGGCAAGAAGGTAACAAAACTACTGATGCCATAAGACCTATTGTGAAACTATGCCAGATTAAATTATCTATCCATAATTTTTGAAAGTAATATTCTATTTCATCTGATTGTATCGAATTTAAGCATTACCTCATACCTGTTAGCTAATTATGAAATTTACAGATTTTCTGCTGTACTAGCAGTGGCGTAGCTAGGATGAGGCAAGGGGGGGACATCTGTCCCTGGGTGAAGCATCTAGAGGCACCAAATTAATGATACACATTTCAGTATGAAATGTTTTAAATTTAAATTTAAATATTTTTTATAAATTTTTCGAAAAAAGTTTGTATTCATGTTTGTAGTCGATCAACTGTAAAAGAATTTATGAAATACTATTATCTTTTTGTAGGAACTTATTTTTATTTCCTATTAAATACAACATCCATTTCCATTACTCCTTTCGAAAACATAACAAATTTTGTGATGCCTATTATGGCTAAAAAAAAAATGCGAAAATAAAAACGATTATTTTGCTAAAGTCTATGAGTGGCTATTGACCTTAAATATAAATTTACGAGTGTTAGGAAAAAAAAAAAAACTTACAGTATTTTGGGGTATTTAATTTTTGAATTTAATAGTTAAAAATTTGTTTCTTTGCATACCACCAATTTTTATCTTGCATACCCCCAGTGGTACATGTAGCACTGGTTGAGAATCGCTGACCTAGGAGAGCGTAATCAATGATTTTTAACCATCTGCATAAGATTCTTTATGGTCTTGCCTCTGTTTTAATGGATATATTATATGCTATGAAAATATCTGTTGAATGGAAAACTGAATAATTCTTTCTCGATAATTGATCTTCAAATTAAAATATGATTGACAAATGCTAGATAATGTTATTATATTGTAAACAAGTTTAAAGTTACTTCATTTTTAAATTATTAAAAAAAAGTGTATGAAAATTTATATATATTAGGGAATATTTAATTATTAATGTTTTACAGAAGTGTAGTAATTCAAAGTGGAATTGTCATTTTCTTGGATCTTTCTACTAAACTTCTAAACATTTTTTAACACAATAATAATTGACATTAATTTAAGACTCTTAATGTGAATAACTTGTATAACATGTCCAATGAAAAATTTCCGATGTATTTTTAGAATATAAAAACAGTATTTGCCATTAATTAATTCAAATCTGTAATATGAACAATACCTAAGGAACAACTTCAGAAAAACGTCAGCAATGTTACTGACAAAGAATCACACACACACACACAAAATAAATAAATGAGCTGAATCCATAAACCATGCAAATTTGATCTCACGATATTCGGCTGATATCTGTACAATCAACAATCCAGTTGGACGTAATGGTGATAATTAAGTATTTTTTCTCCCCCAGTTCAGAGATAGAATATTTTTACAAATAACTTTTTTTAATATTTAAATTCCTTTTTTTTTTACTTCTGAACATTAAAAACAACATATTTCAAATTCTTTTTCTTTCAAAAGCAATAATTATTATGAATGAATTTTGTTATCTAAATTTTAATGATATATTTGAAATAATTTTCTAATTATATATTTTAATAATAAAATAATAATGCATAATTAAATACACTCGAATACTGATTCCATGTGATGTAAAAGAAGTGTATCAAATTCAATCAGTTTAAAATCTGGCAAAATTCAACCTTGATTGGAATTAATTATAAAATTAAACTGTATGCATTTCAAGAAAAAAAAAGCTTTTTTTAAATCAACCTAAATATAAATATTTAGTTCTCCCGAGTTTTAAATTATTCCATTACTGTGCTGTTTTCAATAAATTCATGAATTATTGTTTATCTAACCATATTTCAAATATTATAATGATTGTGAAATGACTCTAAAAGTTAATGTCAGGCTTAAAATAATGGAATTCAGTTTTGGACAACTGGAATTTTGCTACTAAAATATCAGCAGGATTCCATTTATTCTCCAGACTGGGGGTTAAAATCCATAAAGAAGTTTAAATGAATTAAATGTTCTTAAAGAAAAAAAATTCCATACAGATATTTAGAGGTATACCTAATTGAAGAATGCTGAAATGAATTTAAATGTTCGTAAGGTAAAAAAAGCCATATAGGTAATCAGAGAAATAATATATTGGAGAAAGTAAATTGGTTTTGGTTAAATCAATAACAGCATTTTGTGACATAGTTACATAATTTTAAAGAATGGAAAAGTATGTTTAGTCTCTAGATTACTAAAATGAAAAAGCACACTACCTGATAAATAAATTCCATTTTGGGCTTATCCAGTTTTTAACAGAAGTTTATGCGATACATTTTTAAAATAAAGAGATATATGCTGAACTTTATTCTTATTACACATTCCCATTAAAAAAACTGTAAAATAATTTTTATTTCCAAGAAAAAGCTCTACCAGTGACCAAGTGACTGCCGAAAGCTGGGAGTCTGACCCTTGGCGAACTGGTTGTATTCATAGTTTTTCCCATATATAACGTGAATATGAGCCAGTTTCCCTGAGAAAGTTCTCCACTAAAGCACTTCTCACTTTAGGAAGATAGCCGTTATGTGCTTTGTTGTATTTAAATAACCTAATCTAACACAACAATTCAAGAAGGGGGGAAAAGTGCCCTTTCCTATTTCAGAATAATCATTTTATATGACAGAATTTGTTATAAAACATACAAGCAAATGTAGATAAAATATATAATCCCCCCCCAAAAAAAAATTGAAATCTCCTCTGTCGTTCGTTGCCAGCAAAAATTACTAATACACTAAATTTGAAAGAAAAGGAAAAAGTAAGCAAATCTCTATATCCTCCAAACAAACTATTGAAAACAGCACTGATAATTATTATAAAGTTATTACTACAATTACTGATCATATTAGCTATTCATTATTTACTCAAAATTTATGCAAGACCTGACAATTATTTGACATTCATTCATGACAGAAAAATTGGTCTAGATTATAAAGTTATTTAAAATCAATTCAATTATATGGCATTTTTAAGAATATATTTTAATAGGCTTCAGTAAAGCTATAGGACAAATGCTGAATGCAAACTGAACATCAGAATAAATGTTCATACATGTGAGTCATCCTGTGTGTCTTACAATTTTGTTTAGTTGTAAATCCTTTACCACATTGCAGACATTTGAAAGGACGTTCTCCAGAATGAATACGTTGATGGCGAGCTAAATCATATTTTCTGCCTGAAGAGTATGAACACAGTTTACAATGAAAACGGCGTGTTTGGAATTTTCCTTGAAGCAAAACCGAAGTTTTCCAACCTCTGACAGACACAATCATGGGACCTGAAAAAAGAATAAGCACTGTATTAACACAGGTTTAGTTTTATATGAAACAGTGAAGCAAAAAATTCATTTTATATAGGTTAAAAAATGTAGTGAAATATGAATCTACAAAAATGAGATTTTTAAGTTTATTAAAGTTTTAGGCTGCATTCTAAAAATAAATATATACTTTAAAACATCTGAAAGTTGTATTTATGAAAAATAATTTCCTTGTTTACCTCTATATTAAATAGAAGGTTTGCTTACTTCCTAGAAGAAATATAAACTACTGGTTTAACAGATAATTTAAATGTGGTTTAAGAAAGTAGAGTATAATTTTTCTGTTAACATGCAGTAGTTCATTTAAAATATTTTTTACATTGAAAAAAAAGTTCAATAAAAATACTTAGGAAATATTATCAACTATAACGATAAAAGTTCATTTTAAATTATATTAACTTGAGTTCATTTCTTCGACATAATGTGTCTTAAATGCTAAAAACAATTTTTATACAAATAGTTTTATAAATCAATGAGTTTAAAATAAAATATAATTGCATCAATGAATGAAATTTGTTGCAATTTTTTATATATATTTAGCATATATATGTGTGTGTATGTATTCATATAAATATGTGTATGTATGCATATATATGTACACACACAACATATTTTTACTGCAACTTTTTATATATATATAGATAGATAGATAGATAGATTTCAATACAGAATACAAATCTTAACCATTTATTTTCAAAATATATAGCTTCTTTCCAATTTTTGTGTAACTTTTTGAATTTTCTATCTAAAACAATTAATATTCATTTGTATCCTTCAGTTTGGTTTATATGACACATAGACAGAACTTGGTGGCGCTGCAGATGATGTAACTGTTTAAATCCTTCATGGCATGAATTGCATGTATATGGAAGTTTACGAGAATGCACGTAAAGATGAGTCTGCACATTCTGCTTTGTTGTAAAGCCTTTACCACACACATTGCATTTGTATGGTCTTTCACCCGAATGTCTTAACGTATGTCTCTTCAAATGAGATTTGCTGGAACATGAGTAGCTACATAGTTGGCATTTATATTGTTTGATAGTAGAACCAGGATAAAGTTTCTTTCCAAATTGAAGTGCACTGTTTATGTTGTTCCCTTTGATAACTGGAAGATAAAAACAATTTAGTAAGAATATATTCAAATTTATTTTGTAATGGAAAAAAAGTTTTTTCTTATAAGTTTCAATATAAATAGTTCACTGAAGTATGAAAATGATAGACACATTCACATAAGTATAAGTAAAGTTCTAAAATTTATAATAAGTTTCAATATAAATAGTTCACTGAAGTATGAAAATTATATACATATTCACATAAATATAAGTAAATTTCTAAAATTTATAATGTAAGTATGGTACATACTGTCACATCCAAAGCTGCCAACCTTGAAATATGAAAAAATTGCTGTGTCGCATACCATTTCAAAATAACTCCAAATTAGCTTAAATTTATAATGCATGATTTAAGTTATTGATTTAATTGAAACTTTGGTGCAAAGTATATTAATTAATTAGATATCTTTTATGTTTTTTGGCTAATTCTTTTTGTAATTTATAACACTTTTATATAGAGAAAACTTTGGGTAGGGAAGAGGAGCTTTTATTAACAAAGTACTTTTAAATATAATTAATATGCATACTGTTGTGCGGATAAAGTTATTAATGTATCTTTTATTGACGCCACACAAATATTAACTTACTAAGCATTGGTTGAATTTTAATTAAAAGTTTTGCAATTTCTATGGTAAAGTAAAATAATTTAAATAAAATTTATTGAGAAAGTTTAGTCAAAATCCTAGAGGTGGGAGAATGGAATTTGTACAGTTTAAATATGATTATTCAATGAGTTTTATTTATTGCTCAGAAACATTTTCCTAAGTAAAGGCTGATCTTAATTTAGGTTAAAATAACACAGCAAACAAATATTAATTTATGAGTCAAACAACAAAAATCAGCATTGTATTTGCAAATTTTCACAGGATTAATTTTGATCCTCAACTGCCAAAATGCAAATGAACGAGATAAGATGTAGTGAAAAGATAAGAAAAGCTGACCTACCAAGAAATCAGAGTTTTTCACTAAAACTGGGAGAGTCGGCAGCTATACACATCGCTGGATATACTTGGAGATTTTACATCAATGAATGTAAATTTAATTACGTATTTCAAAGGATTTTCAGCTAACATTTAATTTTCCTTGAAAAAGTTCTGACATTACATTCATTCATTCAGAAAAAGAGGAGGAAAAAAGGATTAAAATTCAGAATTTGTTATCAACAGAGGATGCAAATTTTATTAATAATATAAATAATACACCCCCTGAAAACAAAACAAACAAACAAACAAACAAACAAAAAAAAAAACAGAAAAAAAATGGTCATTATATGGCATTATATCTGTAATCAGATTAATCACACAATGCAACATACTTATTTTCCAAACAAAAATAGCAGAGCAAGAACAATTAAGATGCATATATTGCTGTCCTAAGTGCCATTAAAATGATTAATTACTATGATTAAATTATATTTTCTGATTAATTTTTTCTCTTGAAATCATTTATAGTTTATGTTCTGCAATTCCATAATTTTAAAAGCAGATAGATCTCTATCACATTAGAAATACTGTCTGATCCAACATTCAAAATGTTCAACCAATATTTAAAGTATCATAAATATTCATAAAACATTCTCTTTAAACTAAAAATAAAGAACTACTAAAAATGTTTTTTTGACTTATAATCACTTTATTTTCAAGTACCATAAATATTCATAAAACATTCTCTTTAAACTGAAAATAAAAGAGCTACTAAAAAAGTTTTTTTGACTTATAATCACTTTATTTTCATCACATGTCAAAAAATTCTCTTTAATGTGGAAATCAAGTAATTATATGTCAAATATTATTGAAAAATAAATTGATTATATGTCATAATGGTATATATGCATTACTGCAAAAATCTGCATTAAATATGAAGAACTGTACATTTTATAATCGCTATATTTCTAAGATCATTTCATCTATTGCACATGAATATCTTTTATATTTTAATTTATTTAAATTGTAAGGAAATGAGATGTGTTTCTTGATTCCCAATTTATATTATTATAAAAAAAATCCTATCTATTATGTATGATGGATAATGTCTATGACTTAATCCATCAACATTTTAAAATAAATCTGTAATTTATAAATTCAGTATTGTATGATATGGAGTTCTTTGAAATTTTAATATGGATATCACTTCAAATCAAAGTAAACAATAAGATTTATTTTTTTAAAGAGCTACAGAACATACATACATAACATTTTAAAAAACTACATTCCAATAAGTATATGCAACAGAAAAAAGGACAAGGAAATTATAATCATTCTTCAAGAATAAAAATGAATACATGCATTTATTCATCTCAACAGAATAATCATATTATTTATCATGTGTATAACATGGCAAATGTTGCCACTATATGAGATGCAACATCTCTATTTTTCATATGGTCTGAAAAATCACCAATTTCCAGAGTGTTTTTTTATTAGAAGTGGTACAAATTATCATTGAAATTAGCCACAACAGCTTAATAAATTCTGCAATTTAAAAAGAAATAAACATATTTCTTAATCATTTATATGTTTTATTTGTTAATAAAAAGCTAATTGATATAATTTACAATACATACAATTCATAACTTTAATGAACTTCTGCATAATTATCACAATTAATAAAATATTTTAACATCATATATTAAATATCTGGATTTTAACCATTTGGTTTAATTTTTTTATCTACTTATTTATTTTGTTATGAATCAACGCTAAAGAAATCATTTCTTTTTAATCTGATACCACAATAAAAATAATGATAATAAAAAATTAACCACAAGAAAAATTGAACCTACATTAACACATAAAATAAAATGTAGAGAATTTATTATATGATGGAAAAATATCTACATAAATTACATAAACAGACAAAGACTTTTTTAATTTACACCACCTGAAAACAAAACAAACAAACAAACAAAAACAGAAAAAAATGGTCATTATATGGCATTATATCTGTAATCAGATTTTTAAAGTTCATCTTCAGAAAAAGGCAGGTTCAGGATCTTATACAAATATACTGAGTATAATTCTTTTTAATATGTTTTTAATACAGATGCTTAATGAATGCTGTGATTTCTATGAAAATTCTATTTATCATTTTGTGCAGCACACTCACGGTCTATTATAAATAAATATTTTATATACTTTATGCATAACCTTCAAAAATGACATGACAATCTTAAACGAGACAGACAATTCAAATATTATCAGAACTGTTTGTAAGATATTCTTTGTATTTTCTATTTAATGCAGCACTACACAGAATATTTGAAAAAAGTTTCGTACTGTGAAATTCTTTAAATTCTGGTGATATTCAAGTTATATATATTGCAGAAAAGTAGAAGTTACATATGAAAATAACATAAGTTACAGAATATATTTGATTTTTAAAAAATTCAACAGTAATGTAATCTAAAGAATCATGTTTGTTTCTCAAAATTATTCACAATAGCAATAAAGGGGAAAATGCTAATTGCAACAGACAATATATTCTAAAATTTTTAATTTTATTAAAAATAATATAAATCATCAAAATATGTGTAGCCTGAATCTTTGTACATTATATCTAATGTGTTACCTTGTTTTTCTAAATCTACTACTTTTTAGAAATAATAGCATATTCTATAGTATCTTTCAGAATGTTTTTATACCACTTTTATGTACTACAAATTAAGTATAAAATACAAATGACAAAATTCACATTCTTTACACAGTTACAAAACTACATTTGCTAAAATTTATTTTTAAAATTTTAATTCACTTTGACATGAAAATTAACATTCTACATGTAACCATGAGTGTCAACCAATCATCTTACTCATAATGAATAATATTCAGTCAGTTTTTTAAAAACACAAAAAAAGCCTTTCTGTTTATCCAGGTGTATACTCAATGTGGGTGCAGTCACACTAGGTGGGAAAATTTTTAGAATTTAGAGTAACGAGTATTTTTTTTTTTTTTTTTTTTTTTTTTTTTTTTTTTTTTAAATTCAGGTGAGACACTAGAAAGCAAAATCTAAGGATGTGTGATTTTTTTTTTTTTTTTTTAAGAGATGCAGAGCAACAGAATTTAGGAGCCATAGAATTTGCAATGAGTGGCAAAAATTCCTAGCACTGACCCTGTGTGCACTGGTAAATTGTTAATATAAAAAATTACACGACATGTTAAGAAGTTACATTTAAATTGAAAAAATATATATTACAGCATTTATCAAAATTTTTATCGAAATCAAATATATACTGAGCTAGCAACAATTATGACCAGACTAGAAACCAAAGGAACTTCAACCCTTCAAGTATTATGGTTTGAACCTGAAATTTTAAAGTTCACCAAAATATCAGAAGTGATATATTCTTGTTATAATTCCAAAGCGACCCTCTCACTCTGAAATCTAACGCATTTTCTTCCAATATACATTTAACCTGAAATCAGATAAATCAAGAACTGGCAGAAAGTTTCATGGGAAAGCCATCCTTTGATACAGAATTTTATGTCCATAACCCTTAATAGGTTACAAGAGTTTACTGCAGGTAATACACGAACACAAATGTTATTTAACTGGTATGTTTAAGGACTATGTTAAGGCCATACGGGTTGTTAAAATCTTTTAAAGGATTTTGTATTGCTTATTAAAGGCATCATTTTCTCACAATGCCTTTTAGTTCAATAAAAGTATAAACAAAAATATAAAAAATGTAAGAATATTTATAAATTTAATTTAAGAAGAGGGTAAAACATCAAGTGCAGTATACTAGGAGCTGTAGAACAGAACAGAAATAGAAGCATAATTAGCATGGAAAAGTACAATATTGCTTTTGAAATTAATAGAAATAAGATAGCAACTTTTTTTTGAGAGAAAATTTTCCGTAATCATCTAGCACAGTGGTTCTCAACCAGGGTGAAATTTCACAGTTTCAACGAGAAAATGCAATCAGCTTTTTTTTTATCTGTTAAGTATTTAGTTTTAGTTCATGAATATAAAAGACTACTTTAAGTTTTGATATTTATTAACATTTTCTATATTTTTCTTCTTTAATTTATAACACACATTAAATAATAATCTAAATAAAGTTTTGATACTTATTGATGTTTTCTATATTTTTTGTTTAATTTATAATACACATTAAAAAACAGTCTAAATTTAAATAAATGTATATGTGTTTTTGAGACCTGGAAAGGAGGAGGAGGGGAGATCATCTAGCAGTGGTGAAAGGGATGCATGAAGCAAAAAATATTGAATATTATTGATCCAGGTATATGATCTACCACTTTTAGTTAGTTTGTTCTTTCTCAGATGATACCATTGAAACACTACTTTTAAATTTGAACTTGTAAGAAAAAGAAATTATTAAATCAACAGCCAATTTTAGTATTGCTATCTAAGAAATAAATAAATTACTAAAAGCAGTAGATTGCATACATGATATCCCCCCGTAGAACAAGGGTTCTCAGCCTGAACAGAATTTACCCCTGAGAAGAGAGAATTTCAGTTTCAGGGAAAATCGTGGTCCACTTTTTATTTTCTTGTTAAGTATTTAGTTTATGAATAAAAAAAAAAATTTCCTTTTATTCAAGTTTTGGTATTTTTCAACATTTTTGAATTTATATAACACATTAAAAATAATCTACATTTAAATAAATGTATATGAATTCTTTGAGTTTGGGAAAATAGGGGGGGCAGTGGCAAAAAGGGCAAGTGAGGCAAAATAGGTTGAGAAGCACTGGTTTGAAGAATGCACAAAAGGCATCTGTCATTCCACAATGAAAATGAAAATTCTATTTAAAATGTTTTAAGTTATTAAGGCTGAAATTTAGACAGGTTAATATTTATGAAACAATATGGGCAGTAAAACTAGACTGTTAACGTTACAGATTAATTTTTCATGTATGTTGCGATTTCATATGATATTTAAAATGATACTTTGTTATAAATCCTTTAGAGCATAAAGAACATTTATATGGGCGCTCACCAGTATGCCTCATCATGTGTCTAAAATAATTAGCTTTAAATTCTGTGATATAAAAACAAAAATCACATGAGAAAACAGCACTTTTAGTCTCACTGTTTGTTAATAAATTCACTTTGAAACTTCTGTTACTTTCTCCAGTAGTGAAGGAACCTAAAATAAAAGAAACATTAATGAAAACTTTCAGAATTTATTAACAGAATAGCTAAATATTAATTAGTTGATAATAATTTAGCAAAACTAATATTTTGACAATACATGGTCCTCATGGTTTTATATTTATTTGGGTACTTTTCTGTTAATGGGGCACCAGTCGCCAAATGTGGTACTTTTTTTTATATCACATCATGAATAGCTGCACAAAGATGTCCATTACAAATAAACATCAATCCAGAAATTTTCTCTCTAATACAAATACTTACAAGTTAACCACAAATACACCATTAATGATTGTGACACGGTATACCATGTGTAAAATAAGTGAAACAAACACAAACATGACTACCTTCCTACCTCAATGAGTTCAGGTAGTGGCAATTAAATGAAAAGATGCAAAAGTTGTGGCCAGTATTAAATGAAATTGGCTTTTTTATTCCTCCTATATAATCTGAAATTAAACCAGTAAAATCTACTTTGCATTTTTCTTTATTTTCTGTGTTTATTCTGGATTAAAAAAAAAAATAATAATAGTCATTCTCTTCTTGAAACTTTACATAACAATACTGTTAGGGTTGCCACAATTTAGTTAGATAATACGTCGATATTTATGTTTGGCGCTAAGTGGCACACATTAACAGGAAAAATACCTTACTTTCATTAATCTGAAAATTAGACTGCACAAAATTTTTTAAAACTATATAATATCATAATTTTTATTTGAAGATATCATACTTGTACGTTTTGCAAGATTAAAAAAATTAAAAAATAAAGAACAACATAAATAACTGCAAAAGATGATCGCCACTTTATATTTTAATAAATGGAAAAATTCAAACTTATTTCAATATTTGTTTCAAAGAATAATTACTCTGTAAAATGAAAAACAGGAAGGATGCAGAAATAATTTTTACCGCTTATGATAAAGCATGCATAATCTCTTTTATGCATGAAATATAGTAGATATATTTATATAAATTCCAAAATGGTTGAAATTTTCCATTTATTATAACAAGAATTATTTTAAGTTAATATACATTCTAAAATCAAATAAAATATATTCAGTTTTGCAAATTATTTATCATTTTTTGAAAGAATAGACTGGAAAAGATTTTACAATAGTATATTATATTAGAATTAGCTTTAAAATCTCATATTACATACTGGATATGAAAACATATATCTAAATATGTTTAAAAACTTGAAATGTTTACATGATTATTAAAATCTTTGATTCAACCCTAAACAATATGAAGTAATATTAATTTATAAGGAATAAATTTTTAAGTAAATTTTCTAGTTACAGAAAAGCTGAATAAAGACTAACACAATTTATGCAGAAATAATACATACACAAACATTTCTTTAAAAAACATATTTTCAAATAAAAAGTTTACAGCAACGAAATTTATTTTGGTAAATAATTATATGATGGGAATCTTAGTAGAAAATGAAGTATTTTGACAAAAAAAAAAGAGGGGCAAATTTGTTTTCCAATGTAAAATATAATTACATAACTTAAATTATCAAATAGATTTTTTTTATTAAAATTCAATTTTTCTTAACTTTCACTGTTTTTCATGACCAACTGAACAATTTTGCCTTACAAACATCATGAACTAATAATCAAATTATTAATAGCAACTGAATAATTTTATTTATTTATTATAAAATATGCTGAAATAACTAAGAACATTATAAAAATGTTATTTACTTTATTCATCACTGCAAAGGAACTTAAGGAAATATATACAAGAAATATACAATCAAACCATTGAAAATCACTGGTTCTTAAAAGCAATATCATATCTTGGAGGGGGGAACTGTTCAGTTTACAACCAAAATTTATAGAAATGCATCATTTATAATAAATATTAAAATGTTTGAAAAGAAAACTGAGAAGCTAATAACATACACTGGACTGGAAACATGCTTAATTAATACAATTGTAGTACAACCACACAATTAAATTATGCTACTTATTCTTCTGAAAAAGGGAGGGGAGAGTAAAGAAGAAAAACTTTGTTTTGAAAAAGATCCTCCAATATATTAACATTTCTTTAAATTATGTGCTTTTATACTAATACTTCTTCCAATGCTGCATCTTTTCTAAATACTGTATTTTCTTCACACAGTGAAATACGATTTTCTTTTAGTTACATGTCACTGCCATGATATTTTTAAGGAATGGCATCTTTTGATTGATATCAATCTCAGGTACATTTCCTGCCTGCTGCTATACTTCATTTTGTACATTATGTATAACGAGAGTTACACTATTTATTTGCTCTCCTTTTAAGAGAGTCACTTTTTGTTTATTGGTTACTATTTAAAATATAAACTTCTCATTACTTGAAAGAAAAGACTGATTTGTATTTCTTTTTATTTTGTTTCTAACCTTTTCCGAAAAGAGGGGAAAAAATTATATTTACCCTCAGCATTTTTCATTTTTCTTCTAAGATTTTTCGGGTGAGTAAGAACCCTATCAAAATTCATTTGTCTGCAGTATATGTTTAGGCATAATTATATTCTTCTTATATCATTCAATGAAAAATGTAAAATATAAAATATGATAGATAATTTCTCAAATATTTACTAATCTTGCCATTGACTTCAGCATTATTGTGGATTACCTCTATTAATTATATATAATATAATAAAACACACACAAAGTTTTGAAATGTTCTATGTAAATTACACACTAATAAATTTTAACAATCTTTAATTTAATGCAGTTTCAAGATGAAACCAACAATTATTAAAACAGCAATATTCAGACTCAAGTGCTAAAGAAATACAAAAACAGAACTGCCAAGAATGGCAGGATGGAATATGTACACACCTGGATATTTGGACATCATAACAGCATATCATATCCAGGGTGTCTATAGAAACAAGCACATAAAATATAACAGTTTCTTACCCTCTGTTTTAAAATTCTGAATGCACTTTAAAAATTTTTTTTAATTAAATTTTCATATCAAAAACATTCACAATTTTGAACAATAATAAAAATGCACACTAAATCTTAATAAATAATAATTTTTTGATAATAATGAAGTTATTAACATTCTGTCTCTCCCTCCCTTTCTATTTTATTTATTTATTTTTTAAACTTAACCACTACTGAGCTCTCAATCATAACATTGATCTCTCTCCCCCAAAAAAAGATTAATGTATGCCTCAAAAATTCTAAAACTACTTAATGATGCTATAAAAAGCTATTTAATCAACAATTATCAAAAAATGAAAAAAAAAAAAAAAGTTCATCTTATATATATTTCCTTGACAAGATCAAATTCAGAATATAAAAATAAAATGCATAAGATTATGATACAATATCTTTAAATAACATGTTTATAGTGTAAACTTTCCATTTGCATATAACATTTATTTTTTATATTCATTTTTAAGACACAGAATGATAGTATTACAATGTAGATCCACTATTACTCACAAACTTCAGTTTCAAATTAGAGATTTAATAATTTTTTTACACATAACAAAAGACACACAAAAAAGCAATTTACCCAAATTTCAATAAAATTCCTCAGTTTTCTGAAGTTTAACAGATGCTTAACAAAAATCTAATATTTTCATTAAAATAAAAGTCTATATATTATATACATATCTAAATGCCATGCTCATTCAAATTAACAGGGAGAGGAAGAACCTTTCAAAAAGAAATAACAACATAATAGCTCTACAATTATTTACAATCTAAGTATTTTTTCAACACATGCTTGTTTTGGTACTTTTCTGTTGTCAGGATCAAATTCAAAAATGTATGTATGTGCGTATACACACATATGTACATGCAATTTCTGAATCCAGTCCTGATAACAGAAAAGTTCCCTTTCTTCATACATTTCAAAAATTACACATACACTTAAAAAATCTTGGAATTTTAAAATTAAATTTAAAAATATGTTTTAATATTTTTTAAGCCAAAATAATCTTGAGATTTATGCACATAAAAGTTGAAGTCAAAGGAATTCACAGCAGAATGAGATCCTATGCTAGAAAAATTTGCAAGTCCATAATAATGAAAATAAAAGAGAAAAGACTCAGAATTACTTAGTCCCTTAAATTACAATTAAGCAATTATCTGAAAGAGGATTAAGTAGGCTTGTCTTTAAAAAAATTTGTTTACTGCAGAAATAAAAGTTACTACCAAAAACTATCAGGGTCAAACAAAAATGTCTACAGAAAATACAAAAAGAAAATGAAAAACGCATGCAATATTAGCAGTGAGTAATGATACCACATAATGTGTGTTATGTGAATTCTGCCAAAAAAATACAAAAGTTTTTTATGCAAGTTTGTTCAAATTCTCTTGTAAATATTGATCTTTAATGCCATTCATAACTCTCTTTTTTCATTTCTCATGATGTTTTTATATCTTTTACAGTGTGTTCTTCCAGCTTTGAACTGCAATTTAATTTACATAATCACACATTATTAAACTTTAGATTGAACTGCCTGACAATATATGCAAACTCTTAATACTACATTTCTGTTAATTATAATATGGTTTTGTGGTATCCCCCCAAGCATTAATTCACTTAGGCTGTTACTCACTCACTGCCATTTCTTAGTAAGATAGGAAGTGTGGCACTATGAATTCCTAAGTGTCCTTGAAAGTGGTAAATAACCTTGCAGGCTAAACTTATAACCTGTAACAGAAGAGCCAAATATCACACCACCCGGCAAAAGTGTTCAACCTGTCTAAACAACATATGGATCTGATCCTCACAGGCCTTAATAGTTGGATTTCTCATCTTGATTGCTCTTTCACTATAATCACTGACCACAAGATACAATTTAAATCTCTGTTCAGAGAACTGATGGAAACACGAGGCAAGAATAGAATTGGAATCCCAGCTTTCTATACCCAAGCTAATAGTCAAACAGAACATTTTCAGAGTCCTTAAATGTGCTTTCAAAGCTCAAAATCATCCTACACAGATTAATGCTTTGCCTGCCCTTCTACTTGACATCGGAGTTACAGTAAAACCTGACATAAAAGCTTCCAGTGCCAACTTTACTTAGTATATGACATTTACAGCAAATTTATAAGAAGAAATATCATGTAAAAAAAGACATTCATTATATAATATTGTAAAACAGTTTAGAGAAAGAATAAGCTATGTAAAATCAAGTTCCACATAAGTTCACAGTTATCCACAGACCTTCATGCACCCTCAACTAAAAAACTTGCTCACATATGTTCTTAACCCAAACTTACACAATAACATATAAAGTGCTGCCCAGAGATGATAAAATTATTACCATCAGCATAAATGGAAGAGAAACACGTGTCTCATTTGTCAGTCAAACTGGCATGTTTTCAATAATTTCCTTGTATTTTACATCCTTGAATTGAAACAGGAAAGTACCACACCACCAGTAAATTCTGAGACCATGAAATCTCTTAATACACAGCAGAGTAAATATGGTACATGAGTAAAACTGAACAAATGTTTAATTTCTGAAATTAACTGAAACATTCATAAATTATTACTACAGGTTATAAGCTAATTATTAATTCACATAATTCATACCCATGTATTGTACTTATTTAGCAATTCATATAATTCATGCCCATGTAATGTATTTATTTTGCTAATTGTTTAATTCGTGCATACAATGTATTTTACTTAATGCTGGCATTTTGTTGTTCTCTCAATGTGGTCATTCACTGAGGATATACTCATGTAAAAACTTATATTTTGATTACAAGATCATGTCCTTATCCAAAATTAAAAAATTTCAGTAGGGAGCATAGGAGAGAACACAGAATCAAAGCTACTGGCACATAGATTCTGTAAATAAAGGTTGTTGGTTCAACTGTTTTTAAATCCTTCAGCATCTACAAGCGTTCAACACAAAGGCTACAAGTTATTTCGTTTTCATGTGTGTTTTAATTGCCAACAGATTAACCCATAGAGGAAGGCATAGAACTAGATGCCTTCCTTCCACTAAAGCTGACACAGTACTGCCAAACTTCGATAATCTATGGATGTGTGGAACTTTTATTTACATCCAGCATAAGATTACTTTGACAATGGTTTAGTGACACTTCTTCCAATGGCAATTCAGCACAAATTGAAAAGCAAGTATATTTCCACACAAAGAAACATTCATTGCTGAATGGATAATAGCAGTTTGTACAGTTTAGTGGTACTTCTGCACAATATCCCATTTTGGTTATCTTTTCACAACTTTAAACAGTAACTTTTATTATTAATTTTATCTCAAAACTTTCAGCTAATGGACTATGCAAATATAGATTTCAACAAAATCTTTATATTATGCATAAAAAATGATAAATATCTTAATGTGTCAGGTAATTTTAGAATCTCAAAATATTCCCAAAATATAAAACATTTTCAAACTCAATATCTTTACAACTAACAAGTTTGTAAAGGTGAAATTTTGTATACTTATTTCGATGTCCTTGATAGAGTATTTGGTCTGTTTCTTTTATATTCTAAATATAACAATATTTTAAATACAATACATTTTTCAATCATCCACATAATACTGTAATAAGCACTGTGCATAGCATGATGCATAAGCAAATAACTTTTTATGTCTCCCCCCTAAAACAAAATGATGTACATTTAAAATGACCTACACTAGAAATAATGAAATTATATTTCCTAGAAATATATTACTAGGACATTTGAATTCAATAATGAATTTATAAAAATAGAGCTAACAAGAAAAAAGTATAAAGTTTGTGATATGATATCTAAATGTAAATATAAAATTATGCATGTTAAAAATGTTCGTTAGTTTGCCCATAGGTCAGGTTAGGTTATTTAACCCTCTGAGCTGCATGGAATTTTGGATCTGTCATGAAGACCTGTATTTACACAGCATTTATCAGCTAAATTTATATAATTATTTATTTTAGTCTCTATCTTTATAAATTTACACTCATTAAGATGACATTTACATTATTAAAGAAAGTAAGAAAGAAAAATATCTTAAATTATGAGCTAATATGAGCCAAGTGACAAAAAGATCTCATGACCAGATAAAGCCAGTCATGCCACTCACAGCATTAAATATGGCAAACCACAAGAGGGCTATCCACTTAACAATTTAATAAGGGAAGGGGAGGCCTTTGTGGAGGATTTTCAAATGAAAACTGGCTCATATTCACATCATTCACAGGAAAAACCATGAAAAACAAACATGCAACCAGCCCATCTGCCTGGTAGTGAACCCAGATACAGGTCTCAGCTTTCAACCATTCAGCCACTCATGGACCCCATGTTATTCATCACATATACTGCTGCATGAAACATAACTTTTTGAGTATGTATTAAAAATAATAAATGTAATTTTCATTCAATTTATATTCATAATATTTCTTCCGTAAAAATTCTCATATAAGCTAAATTACTTCACTGAAAAAATAAAGTGAATGCATGGAAAATAAAGATTTACAAACGCCAAAAATGAAAATATATTAGTACTTATGCATATCCTTTTAAGAAAGACATATCTTTCTCTAATTAAATTATTTATATATGTATTTGGAAATGGAGGATTTATTCATTCATAAACTCCTGTAAATGTAAAAAAGTAATTAGATATCATAAAATAACCTTAACACTTAATTATAAACAGAATTAAAATTCAGTTTAAAGATATAAACTATTTAAGCAAGAATGATACGGACTGGAAAGGAATCCATTGAATATGTTGGAAAGCACAGTGTATGAGATGCCTACTTAAGGAAGAAGTAAACTAGAATTTTTAGAATATGTATTACTGAATATAACAGTCAGAACAAATTTTTAATAATTACTAAAAGAATTATTTTCTTATACTTTATAATAATTAAATGATGAGGCTTAAAAAATATTAATAAACCTTTTATTTTCCCGATCCCCTCCTGAAATCCTCGTAGAAAATAAAGAACACAGAAATCAGCAGCAATATTTAACATATTATGCTATTATAACAAAAGATTGTCTAATTTGAAATAAATCAAACAGAGTATTAATTACAGACTATGATTTATTTAAAAGATACCTTAGAAAGTTGAAAATTATCTTATATTTGAAAAATTATTTCAGAAAAAGGTTCTGTAAAAAAAGAAATAATTTATTTAATATTAATAATACAATAAACTTTTTCATTTTAAATTTTGTAATCATTAACTATATAGGCCCACCAGCGGCCGAGCGGTAAAGTCGCTGAACACTGGTAGTTCGGTCCGAGGTTCAAATCCCGCGAACGGGCTGGCTGCATGGGTGTTTTCGTGGTTTTCCCCATGTGTAACGTGTATACGAGCCAGTTTCCCTTAGAAAGTCCTCCACGAAGGCATCCCTACCCTTAGGCAGATAGCCCTAGTGTGCTTTGCCATAATTAAATACACCACACCATTAACTATATAAAATTAAATTATTTTAAAATTTCCTTCTCATGTAATTACCAAAAACTTAAGAAAAATTTTCATTTATATTAAATCTGTTCTAAGCACAGGAAAAGTAATAGTATTTTTAATTCTTTTTAGAATGAAATACTGTTTAAAAATATACTTTTTCACATAATTAGGACTCTGAAATATTGTACTGAACTGCTGAATGTTTTGATATACAAGGATGTGTATCACTGATTCAAAGAAATAAACAACAGAAACTGGTTGGGGCCTATCCTTTCTCTCCTTCATCCATGAATTAAACACATTTCAATGTCTCACTAGCTAATCAAAGTTGACTGCATAACTTAATTTGTTTATACATATATCTTTTTTCATGAAAACCTACAGAACAAAAATTTACAATCAAGAGTTATTCATTAACTTCACAAAAATG